TTTGCAAAAACTGATGTCTGTTGCTGTGGTGTCGCAAATGCAAACACCAGGCTCGCATTTGTGAAGGCAACAGATGATGGGTAGTTGTCGCAAATGCGACCTCATCTTCACATTTGCGAAGACACCATAATTTGGTCATGTTCGCAATTGCGAACAATTTGTCCGCTTTTGCGATGTTCCCCAGTTTGCAATTGCGATGTATGTTGAGCCTGTCAGGGTTCGCAAATGCGAGCCCTAGTCCGCAATTGCGAGGGTTCACAAATATGAACCCTGTATCGCAAATGCGACATCTGCGAATGGTTAAAGGGTTGGGAGACGGGATTTTTGATTCATTCTCACATTGTTGAACCCTAGACTCGGTAGGAGGCGATTTGGAGAGGGGATTTTCACCTACAAACCTTGGGTAAGTGATTCTAATCTATTTCTAATCATATTCCATCAACATATCTTATATTTTAACATCAAAATTATGTGAATCAAAGTAGAAATTGGTGAAACTTTGCTAAGTTTTTGAAAAATAAGAAATTGAGTTTTGAGAGTAGATTTGGACTCGAATTTTAAAATTAATCACATATATAAAATCATGGGGTCATGGGTAGATGGAATCTACCATTGGACCCGAGTTTTGACTAGGCAAGCCCTGTGTTGACTTTTGTTGACTTTTTGATAAAAGTGTAATGACCTTAACTTTATCTATTGCAATTGAATTCCCTAGCATTGTTTGATGATATTGAGTCGATTTTGGTTAGATTTGAGCCGTGTGGAGGCGGATTTTAAGGGAAAAGCTATTTTCGAGGGTTGAATTGGCCTAGTTGAGGTAAGTGTCTTGCCTAACTTTGTGTGGGGGAACTACCCCTTAGGATTGGTATTGTTTGATTCAATTGTGCTAAGTGAAATCCTTATATGTAAGGTGACGAGTGGGTACACGGGTTGTACGTAGTATTTGACCGATTTAGGCTACTTAGACTAATTCCATACTTTAATTGAAATGCCATATTATGTTCTAATTTCTCATAGTCAAATTATCCTTAATTGTGTTAGACTATCCTTAAAAGAATATTTCGTGTTGCTTCATTATTCTAGTAGTTGTAGTCCGTACATGATCATTGTAGCACTTTAATTGCTTCTTTTATGCTATATTTATTGTTAACTTCCAGTACTAGTTCTTGCTATTATCTTGTTCCGTATCAGTTATTCTTCACTTTTCGTTACTTATTCGTATTATATTTTTATACTGTCTATTTCATATTCTAGTAGGTGTCTTGACCTGGCCTTGTCACTACTCTACTGAGGTTAGGCTTGATACTTACTGTGTACCATTGTGGTGTACTCATACTACGCTTCTACACATCTTTTTGTGCAGATTCAGGTACGTCTGCTCGTGCCGGTCGTTAGAGGTTGTTGAGGTTGCTGCTTGGGAGACTTCAAGGTATAGCTGCTCCACGTCCGTAGGCCTCGGAGTCACCTTCCCTATTTTATTTCTTGTTGCATTTTTCTTTCGAACAGTGATGTAGTAGTACTCTAGTTGTATTTTGTAGAGCTTATGGCTCAGTTCCACCGGTTTTGGGGTGTGTATTATAAGATTTTGTTTTTCGGAAGGCTTTATCTACTATTCAATTATTTTCAGTAACTTATTAGTTTATATCTTTTTAGTTGTTACTATTTATTAGGCTTACCTAGTCGTAGAGACTAGATTCCATCATGACATCCTTCAGAGGGATATTGGGGTTGTAACAGTAGGGGAAGTTTGTGACATGAGTTCTAGTCATGGGTAGAATTCCTGGGTTCTTGATTCTAATGCTACTTTCTACACTTGTCCACACAAGAATTAGCTTGCAACTTACAAGCAAATGAGTGGGATTGTCTACATAAGAGATGATAATCCATTAGCGGTAGAGGTGATTGGTAACATAATATTGAGAATGTTTGATGGAATTACCAGAAACTTGAGTGTTGGCATGTTCCTCTAATAAAGAGAAAAAAATTTTTCATTTTGACTTTTGATGATCAAGGGTATATGTTTTAGTCAGAGAATGCAACACTTAAAGTGTGTAAAGGCTCCATGGGGTAAACTGCATTCTAAATTGTATCATCTTCAGACTAATATAGTTCAAAGGGAAGCTGTTATAGCTTCTGGAAAAGGTGATTTGAATCAGTCTCAGTTGTGAAACTTGCGACTTAGTCATATGAGTGACGAGGGATTATCTTTGTTGAGCAAGCAGAATTTGCTAGATGGGTAAAAAAATCAAGTTTTGAATTTTTGTGAACATTGTGCATTTCGTAAACAGACAAAGGTGAAATTCAGCTAGAAAGCAAAGAGCAAGGCCAGAGACAAGTTAGATTATATACATTTAGACTTGTGGGGAAAAAACAGAGTTTCCTCCAAGAGTAGTTCCAGATATTTATGACTTTGATTGAGGATTACTCAAGAATGATATAGGTGTATTTTCTGAAAATAAAAGATGAGGCATTTCCGACATTTGTTAAATGGAAAATGATGATTGAGAGGCAGACATAAAGAAAAGTATAAGCGTCTTCTGATTGACAATGGGTTATAATTTTGTAACACTGAGTTCAATGATATCTGCAGCAGAGAGGGCAGAGAGGGCATAGTAAGACACTGCACTTGTGTCGGAACACCATAATAAAATGGTATTGCAGTACATATGAATAGAAAACTTTGTGATAGGGCATGAAGCATGCTTTAACACTCATGTGTTAGGAAGAATTTTTGGGCTGAAGCAATCAATACAGCTTGTTATTTGGTCAACAAATCTTCATCCACAGCTATTGAGTTTAAAAATCCTTTTGAGGTATGGTCTGGTACGGATGCTGATTATTCAAATTTGAGGATATTTGGTTGTCCTGCTTATGCCCACGTGAGGGATGAAAAACTTGAGCCGAGGGTAAATAAGTGCATATTTCTAGGGTATGCAACTGAAGTGAAAGGTTATAGAATATGGTTCACAAATCAAAAGATCCTGGGTTAATTATCAGTAGCGAAGTGACATTCAATGAATCTGCCTTACTGGACAATCAGAGGGAGAAGGCAATAGCAGAAACATATCGGTGTCAGTGACCGCATAGAGCTAGAAATTAAATCTCCACTAGCTCAGCCCAGTAGTTCTAAAGTAGAGAAAGTGGAAGAGGTACAAAATATTGATCAAGATGATAATATTAATTACTTGTGCAACATCAACCATATAACATTACAACAATGAGAGAGAAGAGAGTAATTAACCGACCGCATAGGTTTGTAAATGTAACTAATGGAAATCTTCTTAGATATACGAAACCTTTGGGATTTGTTTTGACAGTTGCAGAGACCGTTGACACATTTGAGTGTAATAGCTATCGAGGAGCTATTTCGAGTACAGAACCAAATGGACGGATTTGTGTTATAGTTAAAGAGATTGGTCTCTTAACAACTTTAGGTGTTGCCTAGACTTGGTTGATGTTTGCGGCAATTGGCAGAGATCTTGCGAGGGCTGAGGGCAAGGTAGAGAGACATTGAGAATTCAAGACAAAAGGAAGATTTGTTATTTGTGGCTTAATTTTTTTCCTTATATTTTAGGAAACCCATAATCGTTATAGATTTGGGAAAACCCATTGTTCTAATAGTTTGGGAAAGGAAAACTTATTGTCCTTATCGGATTAGAAAAATCTTTCTCTTATAGGTTTTGGACTATTTGGGATCTATAAATAGAGGTGTAGTTGGGGATTCTATATATTGTATTGTATTTTTCTTCTCATTTATAGTGGAAAACTCTTTCTGCTTCTGCCCTGAGGATTAGGTTTAGTTGAACCACGCTAAATTCTTGTGTTGATTTTTCTTCTCTATTTGTTTTGTGTGTGATTGTGTGCTAGTTAACCCACGATTTTCAGCAATAAAAAGGGACAAATGCAAGGTTAAAAAGAGAGGGTATCAAGAGCTTTGAGAAGGTTTGGATAAAACAAATTGGTACTTCATTTATTCATAAAATATAAAATTAGATACGAATACAGCTTTATTGAACCTACAATGATACAATATTACAAAATCTCAGTAGCAACAAAAACAATGCTGGGTGATTTTCTCATATGCCTAAGTTTTATGTGTGGATTTATCCGATACCTGTGAGATAGAAGATACTCAATAAATAGTCAAGGTAAAATACTAAAAGAAGGAAAGGTTAGCAGGTATCTGGATACCAATGTTATCAGACTAAAGTAATTTACCATTATAACAATACGTTTTAAAAAGCTTAAAGAAAAGAGAAGAGATAATTGACCTCATTTTTCAAATCAAATTCACCTCTTTAATGATTTCCAATCAGATCAAAGAAACAAAATGAGCAATGTTATTCCAAGTAAGCATTACTATTTAACTGTAGAATTCACAAAGAAGAAAAACAATGTAATGTTTTGACATGATGAAGCTGGACATGCTAAACTAGTACTACTAGTAAATTCCTCTTTCATTATCCTTCAAAATTAGCAATGTTATTCCAAGAAAACATTACTAATATTAACAGTACAATTCACAAAGAAGAAACAATGTGATGTTTTTGACATGGCATCGAAAGAGATAAGTGTTGATTAATCTTGCTAACATGCTAAACTAGTACTAGTATATTCCTCTTTAATTTCTTTCAAAATTCATGGTTTTGACTTGAACTGAGGCACAGCAGTTTGCAGTTGTAGTCATGGTTCACCAGTATTCAGTCTCAAGGCTAAATGGTAAATTCTGCATTTGGAAGCGCATCTTGTCCTCAAGCCTGAACCAAAAACAGTTTCAAGATTCTGGTTTCAGCTGTAGCAAGGCTGAAACAACAAATACAAAAATTTCTTTTATCCTTAATCAGAGGTCTTGAGTTCGTCCTGAAAATGTATCTTGTTTGATAGAGAGCGATAAAACCCTCATAGTAGGCTTTCTATAGAGCAAATCCGGATGAGTGGGGTCAATTAATTCCGAGACCAGATGGTTGAAGAAAGGAAAAAGAAAACAACTGTCACAAATCTTGACCTAATTGGCCTTACCTTGAGAAGAATTAATTCCTGTGAAAGAAACTCTGCCAAAACCCATATGACCAACTCGATACAACTCTAACCAAACTTCCTCTGCATCAATTCTTGCACGAAAACTGTCCTTTAACTCTTCCTCCCCAAATTGGGAATTTACCATACCCAATGTCCCTACTTCTCCTTCTTCTTCTTCTTCTCGTTTTACACTGTCCGCATACATTACGCGGTCAGCACTGTAACAGCAACTCTTGTCATCTTTCCTCTTCTTCTCCAACTTCTTCTTTTTCGCCATTCGCAAGCATTTCTTTCCCACCATCCAAGGAATCTTGAGAAATGCTAGTGCCAAAATGTTCACTACAGCACAGGGGCAGCAGCAAACCGCTACACAATCGGCGATTAAGCCACCGGTGCATGCCTTACATGATTTCCCACTGCATTCAATCGGATCTCCACAATCATCTTCGTCCACCACCGTGTGCCGGTGGTTCTTGCCGTTCGTGGTGATGGCATTTCTTGAAGGGGTACTTCCAATTCCACTGCCCTTTTTGTTACGTTGAGCTGTTGGAGATGAGTATCCTCCATCCATGTCACTGTCTAAAACTCAGTTCCTATGTTTGATGATTTGATGATAGACTAGGCCTGCAAAAGGAATCAAAAAGACTATGCATTTATTCTTTTGATTTTATATAAGACCCTCTGTTTTTTCTCTACATATTGTAAAAAACGTACATATACAAGCAGAGAGGCAGATGCAACCTCTTTTTATAGAGTCTACCTAAACTCAATACTTCCACACAGAAAATGAATATGCATTAAAAAAACTACTAGAATTTTAACAAAATTTAAATTCTAAACCCCTACTTTAAAATATAAACAACGTGTTCAATTTAAGATTCTCAAAGGTTTGAACCCAAGATCAAATCCTGAACTCGCTTCTAACCAGTGTTTTAAAAGGCGTGGGGCGTAAGGCGAGGCGTTTTCNTATGTGCTTCATCCCCACAAAAAACTAGTCAAACAATTTATTATATGCTACTTACAAGCAATGTTTTAAAAGACGGGAACTTGAGGTGGGGCGTTTTACTTGATATGGGGCGATGCGTAAGCCTGGAGGAGGGGGGGTGGGCGTAAGCCCCATGAATAATTAAAAATTTTAATTTATAAATTAATAAAATAACATAATAACATAAAAAAATATAAAATATAAATTAAAAGTTAAAAATTAAAAGAAAATTAAAGGAACTCATAGAAAAATAATATCTAGCATGATTCTTAAGTATAACTAATGCATATAAATTACGTATAACGTCTTTAACTTTCAAATAATTAAAAACTTATAATTTCTTTAAAAAAATGATCAAACTCTATATTTTACCTTCCTAAAAGTAAATAATTAATAAAATCTTATTAGTACGATAATTAAAATATTACTCCTTCATGAATAAATACAAATTAGTTTAAGATATCAAATTAATAAAAGTGTATAACAAGGAGGGACAAATGAACTAAGACACGACCAATAACAAGTGAAGATCTAAATTCGCAATACTATGTCTCATTATTAGAGTTATGCTCAATCTTCATATTTCTATCGATGAATAGAACTTTTATCATTAATTTGTTAAAAAATTTTGAAGGTCAACGATATTAATTAGGAAATTCGACATGTGATTTGCGTTAGAACTGTTAGGCGAGCCCCGAGCGTTAGGCGTTAGGCGTATTTAGGGTGCAGGGTCAGGCGCTCGGGGCGTAAGCCTCACAGAACTAAGCCCATACATGAGCCCCAGGGCGTTTTGCAAGTGCCCCACCCAGGGACGAGCCCCGAGCGAGTCCCAAAATTCTAACTCAGCACAAGTTGGATGCAATATGACCGAATACAATATTTTTACCCAACACTAAAACTTCAACAAATATTAAGTTCTTAACCCGTATCTTTAAAAGTAAAATGACTAAAATATAAAGGTTGAACCCATGTAAATTCTAAATACACATAATTCTCCTAAGTCTGAAAAGTGCAAATACAACGAAAATGACTGCAACGGCAAAGCAGGACTGGGGATGATCAGCTTTCGGGAATTGTGTATGCTAGGACTTTGGGAGCCCCCTTTGACTCTTAATGGTTTTTCGAAAGTACGTACTACTACTAGTAGTAACAAGATAAAATGTTTCTTCCCATGCAATTATTCTTGTATTTCCCAAGTGGGTAATGAGGTCCATGTATTTAGTGCATGCTAGGGTAGAAATATTTACATAGAAAAGAAACGAAGGGTAAAAAAAAAATTCTCCATGCTCACTTTAACTGCCTGAGAACACAGAGGAATTTAAGAGGACGGATATGGTAAAAAGCGTGGTGAAGAATTCCTTACATTATTACATATCCAAGTATATATTTTTAACAATCTGTCCCCTCCATACCCAAGGTGAAAAATATGGTTTGGTTGACTATAGTAATAACCCCGGAATCTTTATGCTCCTTTTTCCTGTCCTTTTCCTAAGATACGTGGTACTACTTCTGTTTCAATTTAGATGAGTTAGTTTGACTTGACATAAAATTTAAGAAAGAAAAGAAACCTTTGAAATATGTGGTCATAAAAGCTGAAGGGGTAAAAATTTTGTGGGACCATACTATTTGTGTGACTATAAAAGTTTCTCATTAAGAGTAAAGTGAGTAAAATGAAAAGTTCAAAGTTAAATTGTTTCTAAATATAGAAATGTGTCATTCTTTTTGGAATGGATTAATACGAAAAGTGTGTCATTTAAATTGAAACGGAGAGAGTAATATAATTGCAAGGAGAAAAAAACCTGCATGAATATATTTTGTAAAAACAAGAAGATTAATTTTCCATTTCCCTTTATTAATTATGATGGCTCAATTAAATGTAAGCAAAAACCTATAAGGAACCTAAGTGTAGCAACAGAGTTAGACTCAGGATTTAAAGTTAATATATGTGAAACCACAGTAATTTTTCCCACATATATAATTGGTGTTCAAAATACTAAGTTGAATCCAAATACAATACACCCCTTCCGCCATCCGCCCTTGTGTAGCAGTAATGGATAAAGGCTATGAGGCCTATGGGCTATGGCTAATTGGAATTTTGGCAGACTGCAGGATGTAGTTATATTATGAATAGTGTTGATGGGGATACAACTTTGTCACCAAAAGAATGAAACATAGCTTAAAAGGGAATGTAAGAAATGTGACTTAGATAGAGACCCTTCACACAGAATCCAAGTTTGTGTAACATCATTCTCCAATTAGGAATGTCATAAATTCGATACTTCATTTCATGTCTTGGATACAATATATTACCATATATTAGCTTTTCAACTTTTTATATCTTTTTCACTGGACATAGATCAATGATCCCTCTTGTTCTTGCATTGAATTTTCAGTGGACAATGCCTACTACAACTCCATCAACTCTTTTTTTCCTTAAATGAAAGTTTATTTGTTTCGACTTTAAGGGTTACGGTAGGATGGATAGGTCCTTCCATACTTAATCAGAGGTCTTAAATTTGAGTCTTGAGAATGAAAAAATTTCTGATAGAAAACACTCTCCTATTAATGGACCTAATGCGATATAAATTCGGATTAGTTGGGGGGCTAATGCAAGTACCGGTTTGAAAAAGAAAAGAAGTTTACTATCTTCACCAATCCTTGTACTCATTTTTTACTTTAAGTTCTGAACAAGTCAAAAACTATAACCACGTGATATGTCTTCCTTCAAAATATACGAACTCACTAACATCTACAGTAAAATTACAAGTGCAGTGGTTCGACTGGGTATTAATTACCCTTATTTAGAGGACGTGGCTGGTATCTTTTTCTTAGCTTCGTATATAACTCTCTTTTTCATGCTTTTTTGTAATAGGTTTGATCTCAGGATGAAAGCCTACATAAAAAGTGTATTAGTTCTTTGCATTAACATTGTATATAAAAGAAACCACCTGCTATTACAAATAGTGTGATGTTTTTGCAGTTTCTCCTTTGTTTGTCTCAGTTGTTATAGAGGCAGACACATTAGGAACTGCTTTTGATAGATGCATAAATATGTGTAATAAAGATGCTACTTGTAAGTACTACTATGTGCTGATAAAATATACTCCTATAAACTATTTTATCTTCTCAAGAGCAAAAAAATGACATTCAATAACAAATAACTCCTAATATCACCACTTATTGACAATTTGAAGAATAGAATAACTCACTATTGACATTTAAATTGCATTGATCGTATAATTCTTTTTACAATTCAACGTATATAACTATTTAAATAGAAATGAAAATAACTTAAAAGTTCATGCTTGAGAGTTCCAGGGCTGATTGAACAACTGATATGCTAGGCGTTTGCCAATAAGAGAATAAAAGATGATCTAGTGGAATAGTCTAGGTATGTGCACTATGTAACCTTGTGATAAAAAGAAGAAGAGTAACACGAGATTTGATGAAATAGTTGAGATGCTTAAATTACCTTGAAAATTATAGTTATAAAAAAGGGAATATGAGATCTAGCATTGATCAAATATATTTATATACCTTTTCAATTATTTTAGAACAAGAATCTTACATTCATAGCGTGATAATCAAGTTGTATAACTCCAATGTGGAATAGAAATGTTATATTTCAATACCATTTAGTGTTGTGAAGTTCAGAAGTATTATAATTAGTAGCACTAATTAATTAGCCCAAGCTTCACATGCTGACAGTAAAGTATAGTATGACCACGAGGTGAGATCAGGGAGGCATAAGGATGGAACACAAGAATCTACTCCCAATGCAGTGTATGTGGAGATTCCACATGGGGTGTTTCCCAGATTTGGGGTTTTGTTTTTCTTCATGGTCTTATATTACTATTCAAACATATAGAAACATGGATGGTAAAGTTCGTCAATATTTTTTAGGTTATAACTATTGATAGTATAGAGTATTTGCACCTAGGTTTAAGTTTTATGTATAAAAATATTTATATACAATCATATCATTTATTAGGTAATTATAGGTAAACTTTTCAATAAGAATTATTTGTTAAAATTAATTATGAACATGCTAAGTGTACTTCTAATGTTAATTTAATCGAAGAGACTGCGGCAAATACCACCGAGTTAATTATCAACTGTTCTTAATTACTACTTCTCCGTTCACTTTTACTTCACAAGTTTTGACTTTTCAAGACACTTAAAAAATAATAAATAAACTGTATAATATAATATAATATCCATATTAATTGATACATATTTTATTGAATTTGAGAAAATGATTTGAAATGAGTAATAAATATTGTGGGTATAACAGGAAAAAAAAAATTGTCTTCTTTTGATATGCGTAAAGTGACAAATAAAAATTACAATCTATTTTTAGTATACATGTCAAGTAAAAATGGATGAGCGAGTAATAACTTATTTGACAGTTATAAATTAAAGATTAATCGGATTCAGTGTTGAAGAAATCAAGATCATTAAAGTTCTTATAGGAGTTACACAGTACCATTCACGTGAACTTTGCATTACTCTAAAGATAAAANATATATATATATATATATATATATATATATATATGAATATATACTTAATTTGAATCGAAAGGAATGATTTCAGTTAAATTCGTAACATCCGTTTATGAAGTTTAATTTGCCTATGATTTATTCTTTCACCCTAGTGATGATTGGGTAATAAAGTGAGCTAAAAGACAAGTGAAAATGGAAAATTTGCCTTGGGCTGCATAACTAGAAAAGTAAGAAACACTAAAGGGGACAAAAGAAGCATCTCCTCCTAGCATAAAGTTGGAATATTACAAATTGGAAAAACGAAACACATGAATACAAGCAACCAAATTGCATAACCATGTATATGAAAAGGAATTTTAAAAGGGTTAATTTGAAACAAAAGATCATTAATGCGTGGTTGAAGATGAAGTAATCTCTTCGGTGGGTACGTAAACAACAACAACAATCCACTATAATTCCATTTGTGGGGTCTGAAAAGGTTAGTGTGTACGCAGACCTCACCTCACCCCTACCCTGTGTTAGAGAGGCCTTTTCCTATAGACTCTCGGTTTCCTCCCTCCCAGAACTCTCCACCTTGCTCTTGGGCTGAAGAACTCATAACCTCTTGGTTGGAAGTTGAGGGTGTTTACCACTAGAATAACACACTCTTGTCCGCTGAGTACTAGAATCACTCGGTATATAATGTACTATGGAAAGCAGCAAGTAAACAATTTAGGTGCACGAAATTGATCGGCACACCACCGTTATTCAGAAAAATATGATTAAAAGCTTGAATTATGAAGCACGAAAATGGCAATATAAATAAGCATACCTGTGGAGGGTACGTGCTCTCTTTAAAGATTTGCTCGAAACTTTCGTTTCTTAGTATTACTTGGCCGCCTGGTGCCTTGAAAAATTTCAGAGGGTTGCATCCAATGCAAACTTCAAAACTGCAGATGAACCACAAGCAATGCAAGCAGCAGGGTTGTTATTAATTTCTCAAGCTGATGATTTTTCAGTTTTTTTGAGTAAACCAATTTTTGCAAAATAGGGACTTTTTGCTTTCTTTCTCTCTTTGAATCTATGAAACAGAAGGGTTTCGATCAGATCTAAGATGCTTAGTATATAACCGACGTTGTAGTTTAGAGAATCATACCACCAAGTTCCAAACAATATATGCGTGGTCTATGCCATTGAAGTTTGAATAAATATTTTAATCCTCCCATTTTTTAAATCTTGACAGCAGCTAACCAAGCTTTTTCCCAGTAACATTATAATATTAATTATTATACGTTTATCCATACACTTTATATCTATTTTATATGTATCCCAGGGAGATTCTTTTTTTCTTTATTTATTTAATAATAACTCTCACCAATATAAAGATTGAATAATTGTACGTGTCAAGACTTGGATAGATGGAATAAGTATTTGCTAGCTTTTATCAACATAAATACATACTTGAATATATGGTAAAAATCACTTAGCGTCTTTTATTTTTATTGGTATTTAAATCCCAATCTCCAAAAACCTCAATTCGTTGATCGTTAGGCAACAAGGTGCTCCTGTATTTCTTTTTCGTTTAACCAACAATACTTTTTGAAAAATACTTTTAAACAAAAGCACATTTCAAAATAAGTAGTTTTTGACAGTTTGACCAAACGAGCTGTCTTTAAATTATCATATAAACTTGAAATGAAGAATTACCAACTGCGGTAAATTAATTTAACCCAATCGTACAAAAAAATTACTTGTGCATAAAACAAAAATTTTGAAGAAATTACTCGACCTACTAATTTCTCAATGGAAGTTGAACATTGTCAAAGATTATTCTAATAAACAATCTAATTTATCTCTGCTTACCATACTTTTTTTCAGGTCAAAAGTTGCTGGAAAAGTGCTTTCTATCGGTGCTCTAAAATGAAAAACGAATGAATGTGAGATAAAAAGGATGTCAGGGACTCCAACATAAATGCTGGGTAAGAAATTGAGGTGGCCCTTGCACTTGCTTGGCCGTTCCGCACCTTTTGTCTCAAGTTATTTTACCTTTTGATTCTTGAAGATCTCACCACCCTTGATTTTACCTCTTTCTTCCATAAATAACAATAGAAATTACTATATTGAAATATTTCTATTTCCTTGTTACAGCGGGTTGAAGAGGCCTTATTTAAAGTAAAAACTTTTTCACGCTGAAGTGGGGTGGCAAAATGGATTATTGTTGCTCCCAAACGCACACGCAATTATACGTGGTCGTACAAGTAATAAAATGATAAATTGAGTGTCGAGCCTACAAAGACTTGTGTTAACCACGACTAGTTTCACCAAGATTACTATTCAGTCAAGTCAATAAGAGTTCAAAAGTGTGATTATACAAAGCAATAATTCTAACAAGTAACTAATTTATCAAGCAGCAAAATAGTTGTTGTGTATTCTGTAGAGACGAATATTCCAGGATTGTGATCGATTCACCAATCCTATTGTGCTCTAATTAACTCTCTTTTTCATACAATTCACTCATGGTTGCTAATTAATCGAACAATTGCTCTCGTAGTATTCTCCCGAATTCCTACTCGCCTATTCAAAATAGATTAACGCCTATATTCTTATGGGATCAATCTATTAAGAACACATTAAGATTACGGTATTTAATTAAGCACGGTGATTAGGTATATTCTGATCATAACCACAAATCCGCCCCCACTCAGAGTTAGGATCATGCTCTCTTCAATTCTTCTCTAATCTAGGCGTAGCTTTCCCAAACATAGCATAGATAGTAAATAGAACCTAACTGTTGGCCAGACAATTAAGCAATTAATCACAGAATTGAAGAAATAACCATATATTAGTGAATTATAATCAAGGTTAAGTCAACTTTAAATGACAATATTTATGGCTAAATCACAACCCTAGAACTATGAATTTTAGCCACTCATGATAATATCAAAACAAATCCACAAGTGTTGAATAATTGAGAATACTAAGAAAAGGTGAAGAAAAATAAGATATCATCGCTCCTGGATGTTTTTCGTGTGTATTTTTTCCTTCAAGTGGCGTCTCCCCTCTCAAAATAGACTTAGTCTTGCTTTTATACGCGTTGAGGGGGTCTTGGGCCGAGATAAAGTTAGTAGAGATGAGGATGTTGAGATGGATGTGCGGGCATACCAGATTAGATAGGATTCGAAATGAAGTTATTCGGGACAAGGTGGGTGTGGCCCCTATTGAGGACAAGATGCGAGAAGCACGACTTTGATGGTTTGGACATATGAGGAGGAGAAGCACATACGCTCCGGTAAGGAGGTGTGAGAGGTTGACATAGGAGGGGCTTATGAGAAGTAGAGGTAGGCCGAAGAAGAGTTGGGGTGAGCTGATTAGGCATGACATGGAGCAGCTACAGCTGACCGAGGACATGACTCGTGATAGGAAAGTGTGGAGGTCGAAGATTAGGATAGTAGGTTAGGTAGTCTATATTATTCATACCGGCAGTGTTAGTACGTACTCTCGCATTTGGTTGGTAGTAGGCTTATTTGAATACTTGTGGTTTTATTTTTTTTTTACATTTCGATCATCTTACTATCTTGTTGCGTATGCTGCTTTTACATGATTTTTCAGTGTTGTCCCATCTTGTTTCTTGTTATTATTGTGGTACATATGCTTACCTGAGCCGAGGGCCTATTGAAAATAACTTTTCTACCCCTACAAAGATAGGGGTAAGGTCTGCGTACACACTACCCTCACCAGACCCCACTATGTGAGATTATACTAGGTATGTTGTTGTTGTTGTTTGTTATTGGGGGAGGGGGGATCTTGGGCCGAAATAACCTTGTCCCGAGCGAACTAGGAGAGATTTTCCGTCACCAGCGCCAAGGGTAGCGTGGGGCGCTATTTCTGGCACTGGGTTATTTTTTATTCTGTAAAGTGCGCCACATGTAGCACCCCACGCTGCTAGTGGCGCTACAAATGGCTATTTTCTAGTTTTTCTCCTTTTTGGCTCCAATCTAGAACCTTTTGTCCCATATTGCCTCTGGATGATTCCTACACATAAAAATACCACGAATTAGCATAAATTATTATATTTTATATCTGAAATCCACGAAACACGAATAAAATGCAAGGCGATATACATATAAATATATATACTTTAAGCTAATATCAATTAACAAAACAAGTATCTACTAGTATTACTAGTAGGGTAAGTATGATTTTCACAAACAAATAAAATACTACTAACAACATCTTTAAAAAAAGAACACAATTAAAATTATATTAATAAAATAAACTCAAGTATATTACAATAACTTTTTCGATGAGTTTCAGTTTTTAAAAAGTATTCAAAATAACCTCATTAAAAATAATACTAAATATTTTCCTGTATAAAACACCGTATAATCACTAAAATTTTATCATTTATTTGATTCGACAGATCGTTCTTAATCAATTTCATTGGCGAGAAAGATGATGAAAGGAAAAAGAAAAAGATTAGCACAACAATTAATCATGGAAGCAGCAACATCCTTCCGAATTAGCCACCCTCCCAGCAAACTCAACTACAGACAGACGAGGAGGAAGATAAGGAAGGGTTCTCAACAACAAGGAGAGTGGAATACGGCATGTTAAGGACATCAAGAACGCTGGTGTTCAATGAAAGAAAAGAAAAAATACACATCTTGCGTTGACCTCAGGATTTGAGGAAATGCTCGATAAATATAAGGGAATTAATAAGTCCCACAACGATATACAAGTATGGGGTAGTAATGATTCCAATAATGTACTCCAACCACTGGACCAATCAAGCCAACATGAATATGGTAGTGCCCTCTTTTCCACTGATCCCAACCCATGTTCAGGGAGGGAGTCCTCAAACCATCAATAGATCAATGACCATGATCGTGTGGAACTGTCGAGGAGCGGGGAACGATGAGTTCAGAAGAACATTCAGATTGATGCTAGACTACAATAAGCCTTTCTTGGTTGCCCTATTGGAAACCAAGATGTCAGACCACAATGACTTGGTTGGGGACTTTGGCTTCTCTTACCTTGTCAAAGTCACGGCTCAAGGCAACTTAGGAGGAATGGTCATGATATGGAATGCATATGTCACGATTCGAAATTATAACCGCGGGGTCGTGATGACGCCTAACATCCACTTGCTAGGAAAGCCAACATTAGTACACAACTATTTATTTTTAAACCAATTTGAAAGCAATTTAATAAGAAATAAAGTTGTGAAGTGTCAAAAACATAAATAAATACTCCAAAAACTGACTAGCCAAATCTCGGAATCTAGTGTCACAAGTACACGAGCATATTATAAGTGCTACAACCAATGCCTGAATAAAAATACAATTATTTGAAACAAAATAAATAGTACAACTAGATAAGGAAGGGGACTTCAAGGACTGCGATCGTTGTACAACTGTACCTCAAGTCTCCAGATGCAGATATGATCCGAGTTATAACAAGGCACTCACTACAAAACTGTACGAATATAATGAAATAATGACAAATAGAGAAAACAAATAAGTATAACTTGAAAAGTGGAACATGAAATACCCAATAGAGGGCCCCAAAATAACATCAAGCTCAATTTTCTCATACAACATGGAACCAACAGTTATGAACAATCAATATGTCTTCTCCGTTGTGGCGTGTAATATATATATATATATATATATATAAAACATGGAAGTGTCAAAAACATATGGCGTGTATACCACTACAACATGTGTGTGTGTGTGTACCACAACAATAATAATAATATAAATATACCACTACAACCAACTAAGGCATATATAAAATAAAATGCAATAAGAGAATTACATAATTAAATACATAAAGCGGATAGAAGTAGCTATCTAATAACATACAAGGTCATAAAGCAAGTAAAGGCAGTCAATAAATTGTAACGACCAAATCGGTCATTTTGAGCATTTGTATTTTGTTCAGCTATTTGAAGTCTTGGGTAGTTTCATATGATGTATTATGACTTGTGTGAATCGTCGGTTTTGGTTTTCAGATGATTCGGGATTGATTCGGAGGAATGATTCTCAATTAGGATGCTTTAAGTTGGAAGAGTTGACCAAGTTGGAATTTTATGTATTTGATCCCAAATTAGAGTTTTGATAGTTCTGTTAGGTCCCGAT